TTTTTCTCAAAATAATCCATTAGGTTGGTTGATACTGATATGGACATAGAAGTGGGGATGTAAAAATGTTTAGGCTAGAGCTAGATAAACGAAACAACCATCTGTGAATTAGTGGTAGTTAAAATATCTATATTCTGTTAATCAGACTGGCTCTACAACTATGTCCTATCATCCGTTCCAGTGCACATTGATTAAATGAAGACGAGTGACTGATTGAGATACTTATTGATCACTGAAGAGTAGAATGGATCCTGCCAACTGCGTTTGTAATGTGGTCATCAAGCTAAATGGTTACATTGGCTGAGTACTTTTCAATAGTAATGTCCTGTTTGCTTATTCCTTCGAGTTGATCAAATTTTACAGATTAAGTTTCAATACAACCAACAGTCTAGGTTGTGCTAGATGATTCGAGGTTCTCACTAGGAAACCCTAGACCAGGGTTTTCTATTAGTTGGCACCGACTAACAAGATACATCTGTAGTCTTGAGGAGAATTATCTTAGTCCTACAGACCAGTTACAGCGAATTCTATGAGGCACACCACTTCCTTGAGCATCGAAAGTACCCCTTTGACGTGCTAACTAGCACAAAAGTCTAGGATTTCCTGACGATTATCTTCAATCATCAAATTTAAATGGTTCCGTATCATGTTGGAGGAGGTTTAGTATTTCATCTTCCCAACCAATCAACAATAATTTTTAAATCTAGGCTATTCACATCATGGAATTTCGCAGCAAAATATATCTGTAAAGTTAGCAAATCTTACATTTCATCAGACTTGGATCCGCAATTTTCAGTGTCACAATCAGTAACCTAATGACAGCCTGCGCTGAACTCCTTGTATTATTTATCATTTTTGTTTTTAATGGTATGATAAATACATAGTGATTAAAGGCCATTCATTCGATACCCTCTTTATTGTTACATACGATTGCAACACCCCTAAAATGACGAGAAATATATTCTTTTCAAATTCAAATGAAAACCTTATTTTTAATAATAACGTGTGATTCAATGATTCTTAGTACTGTTAAGGTAAATGATTGCGTGAAAGCATCACATTTAGATGTGGGATATTGTTTATTTATAAACCTCTGTCAACTGAATTCTGTCAATCAACCATGAACCGTCGAATACAACCACTCAAATTAAAAACTAGAGTACTGAAGTTAATTTCTGTCAGTAATAAAAATATAAACATGACATTAGTTGTCAACCAATAACTAGGTTTTGTACTGAAAATATCACTTAAGAAATCAGTATCAGAGAGTAAGAAACTACTAATGATATCAAAGTACTGTGTGTTGTTTGAGGAACCATGTAAGCTTATCATATTATATCCAACCAATTCAATAGTTCTATTTTAAAAATATATTCTTTTAATAAATGGAGAAATTAAAGTAATTCGAAATGACTATTTAATACTACTATAATCTAAAATTACAATACTATAGTGAAGTTTATTCCTCAAAAGTTTTACGTTGACCAGATTGGTTTAACTTTGTGCACCCAGCAATGCCTATAAAGTTATTTTCTTATGAGTTTACAATGTTATTCTGTTGATATCTTCGTAAACATACATGTTTGGTTCTTCCTTATACTTATATTTAAAAAATATCCAGGTTAGTACAAAGCACAGGAGGATTTCCAAATTCATCTGAAATAATCTAAAAACTATAGACAATGAATCTTTGCTACTTTTTAGAAAATAGCATAAATCCTACGACTGTCAAGCAGTTGGATAAAAGAACCAAAAGCATCTTTGTTCGAGTCGACCGTTTATGAAGTGTCTTTTCCCATTGAATTTCACTAAACAGTGTGTCTTTGTTATTGAGAACTGAACGGTCAATACATTTCTTTGTCGCACTAATATAAATAAATCTCGAAAACTTACAAACACTATTTATGCTGAGAATTTGTTGAGAAACAGTATTTAGTCCTCTGCTATCACCAATTTGATTTAATAGATGATGGTTACAGTTGATTAGAAACATCCGATATCATAGTATCGGTCTTGAACTGTTTTTAGAGATCATAGTGACACTGATGTATTACATTAATATAAAGAAAAATGATTTCTCAAATTCATTCATTCATCAAACTTAAAAAACCGTGATTCATACACTTCATTTGTTACTTAATCACACATTTTGTCTACGCTGTCGTCCCATACGAGAATTTAGACTTTAATGGACAATAAACATAATTAAAAGTAATCCTACCGACGCAGTAAGCATTTATAGGAGTAAACTCGATGTACCATTTTGCTTAGCCTCGGTTAAACCCACTAATCCTATGAACGACAGAGGATAGAACTTTCTCACTACTAAATTTTCATCTGTGATAAAGGTTGGAGTTTATATATACTCTGACTCCTGTCAAAATAACAATATGCTTTGCTAGTTACAAAGAACTTAACAATTCTAAACATACAAAACCGAACATCCTTTTCGTGAAATCTGAGTTTTGATTTTATTAGTTGTCTTATGCTAATCTTATTGACAGAACCTTCGTAATTATAGGGCCCATATATTTGCTGATCCATTCGTCTTGTATAAAAACTTGTGATTCCATGAGTTCGAAATATTGTCTCTTGCTAACACTTTAATGTCAACATAAAATTTTAACATATAACTCGTTTCGACTAGTGATTCTACTCACCAAACTAATACTGTTTCAATTAGTCTTTATTAATAGGTCAGTATGGCTGCTCTATTTTTAACTTACCCATTAAACAACATTTCCTTGTATTTCAATGCAAAACTTCTCAGAAATCTACTTTATAAAATCAAAGTACATTTTATTACCTCTTAGAAATCTGAAACCATTGTCTCGATCTCCATTTTTGCCAATGAAGTTTATAGCTAAACGTGATTCGTCATTAAATTCACTTAGTATTATTTACTTGTATTTCCCATTGTTGTTCAGGACTGCGACTGATCAGTCGCTTATTGGCATATGGGCATCAACAAGGGGAAGATACAAACAAACAATAACAAGTCAATTTAAACTTCAACCCATTGCACAAACTAGTGGCTATCGGGACTCAGTGGCTAAGCGGATAACGTGATGGTGCTTGAAGCGGACAGTACTGGGTTCGAGTTCCGGAGTGGACATTAACTCTAGGACGCGGGTACACCTAGCTAACGAGTCCCAAATGAGATGGATCCCACTACTAGCCACCATCTTTGCTTGTGATTCGTCAATATCTTACTAACTTCAATTTTCATACCCGGTATATTTAGCTGAATTGGTAGTTATCCCTTACTAAACATGAAGTGAAATTCTTATGAAAATTACACAAACAGTCATTAGACTGAGAAAATTTTAACCTCATCTGGTCATCAGCTTGTTACAACTTTCCTCAGATATATTCCTATATAACATTCCGTAACACCAAATTCTGCATCCTGTCTTATATTTTAAATTTTGGTAAATTGTGATTAGATGACCCATGGTCCTAAATAACGTGTCGTCTTAATTCGCATTATTTTTAGTCCAAAAGTTTGCGATTACTTAAAATATTCAGTCTGACAATAGACTATTAGCCGAGTTCTTTGCTGAAAAAAACCATGCTTATTTATTTGAAGCGAAATGAAATACGCGTATGCACAACCAAAACGTATATATACGTAGTGACATTTGTCATGATAACATATCCACACTTATCTTACTATTAAACCATTTGATGTTGTATACAGCCTTGAATCATAGTTTGAACGCCTTTTATGTTGTTATTTCTTAGTATAGGTATGATTAGTGTCACCAATGTTCAATGTAAAATCAAATTCTATGACTTGTCATTTGGAATGCAAAAAGCGCAACAGTTTAAATTGGTAGTACATAAACTTTCAAAAAACATTCATTTCTTAGGATAATCCTACTGTTTGAAATTTTCTGGGAGAATCTATCTTCTATCCAAAGAATTATTAGATCGAAATTTTTTTAAATGGAAATAAGAAACTTAATTATTTAGTGTTCATACTGTCGTAAAACAGGAAAACTAGTTTGTTCTTATAATATTATTTGTGAGTTGAACTATTTTAAGATGTGTATGTTTGTTTGAAAAGTAGGAGAGAAACATCAATGAAAGTAATCAACGCTAACTGTAGTAAAAATATATAAATCAGCAACTACCGTCCATAGTTTCAGAAGATGGAATGTTTTAACAGTCTTTGACAATGAATATACAAAATTCGAAGTAAAGATTTAAAGTAGTATGCTCGTAAACTTTGAAGACGTAGGGATTTAGTAGGCTGTGTATGATTCTGAAAACTGAGTACCACAATTTTAGATTCGTCATTTTAGATCATTTGTACTGTTCTATGACAACGTACATGTTAATCAAACTGTCAACAAATACATATTATGGACACTTGTAGATTAGATAAGAAAATGAAAGGAAATCAGTTTCCTTATTTGGTAGACTAGTCATAAATTCTAATGCTTCACAAGGATTTTGTTCCTATTCAATTAGCTCACGTATAATTTCGCTCATGATAAGCTACACAATCAATTATTTGCAGTCGGATGAAGATTTTCGATATTAAACAACAGCTTAAACCGAAATATAAAGATAAGGTATCATAATTGATTGAATGAGAAAATCTCAATGGGTGAGATCATGATTCAATTAAAGCTGGACCACCATGGAATACCTGGAAGCACTGGATGGCCGATTTTTCTATTGTGGGACTCCTCAACAGTGCGCATTCACGATCCCGCCCCCGCGAGATTCGAACCCAGAATCTACCAGTCTCGCGCACGAGCGCTTAATCACTAGACCACTGAGCTGGCATCCAACGGTGTTAATGTCTAATTACTGAGGAGTCTCACAATAGGACGAAATTGCCGTCCAGTGCCTTCAGGTTTTCCACGGTGGTCTAGCTTCAATTGACTCATGATCTCAACCATTGAACTTACTATCATATCAACAAAACCCTTCTGATATGAATATGAAAATCATCTGTTCAATTTTCAGAAATGTAAATAAACTTTAAATGACTATTAATTAACTTTAATATGAAATGTTGTTCACTTTCATTTCTAACTAATTTGCATATTAATATTAACAATAAAAATTCTTAAAAAATATGGTTAATAATCAGTAAAAACATGGATGGGGTATAAACATGAAGTATATTTAATGGGTGAATATGTTAGCAGAATGATAAGCATATATATATATACTACAATGTACATAGAGCATATGAAAAAGTATGTACGATAGAACTTGCATATTATTAAGCCATGTGCAGTATCTATTGGTTAGGCGCTAATATAATTTGAATAATATAGAATTAATGTTTATATTGATATGTATATAATGAGAAAGCAAGTAGAATAACACATGTCAGGTGACTAATAATAAATGTCCGCATAACAATAAAATGAAGTTAGATAAGAGGTTTTTTTCTAGTGACTTTTTCTAAATTAAACGTTATTCGCTTTTAAAATGTTTATTTGTAACACTTTCAAGATGGGTTAAGCGTCTTAAATAAGAAGAAAAGACGAGTGAAATCGAATTTTACAGGATACCTTTTCTAAACTGTTCACTTTTTACAGTTTTCTTTTGTTTTGTTTTTGTTTTTCCTAAATCGAAACTTTTCCTTGGCGTTAATTTAACTCTGGTGGATGTGTGTTTAACCGATCAGTACGAAGTACACTGATGACAAAAATGTGTAACCATAATCAAATATTTATAAATTGACAGTTTCGCATTTTATAATTTATATGGTGATCCTAGGTATTTGTATATAATACGTTAAATAAATAGGGTATACGTGCTGAAGATAAATTCAACTGGGATATTAGGTGAGACAGAGATATAAGGCAAATAAAATGGTGAAATTGTTTGTTTTCTCTACAACAATTGCATTTTCTCCCTTGAATATCGTGTCAGCAGGTAGATAGAGATAACCGCGAATGTAAACTATGGAATAAAAGGAAACAAAAAGAAAATATAGCAATCATCAAGTAAGACGGTTGATAAATGAAAAATGAATTTATAGTTATTTGTGTGGTGGTGTTTTATGCTCGTCACATGTTACTTTTTGTAGGTTAGACTGCTCGATACGTTTCGATTTTAATTAATTTATCCATTAATTTATCAGTTAAAATAGCTATCCATAAGCTGAAATCTAATGATCCTAATATAGTTTGACTGACTTCTGTCAAGAGACATTTGTTCACCATATTTTATAACAGATCATCACAAATAAATAATAAACGTACAGCTTTGGTAGCTATAAATCATCATTCTACTTTGGAGCAAAATCCTGAAGATCTTGAACAACATCATTTTAGAAAATGATTTTTTCTAGTCGAACCATTAATTTCTAGGATACATTGACTAATACCTTTAATCTTACTGTATACCATTTTTACTTCCACTAACAGCTTCAAAAGTAATCAGAACTGTACTCTACTGCCTTTACTTAAATCTCAACTATTTCTTCGGGGATGTAGCAACTTATTCTCCCTGTTGATTCATCATAACAACGCTGTGGTGGCAATTAAGCAAACCTGTTAATCAGTGCTTAATTTCATAAATTAATGACCTATGAAGTAGGAATCATGCAGCTATTTACTTTTTAAATCAATCTTAATCATATTGATTTGGTAAAAAAAATGTTTGTACACAGGCACGCAGTTTTATCACATGAACCAACTTATCTTCTGTTTTGTTTCTTAATATCTTTTCAGTAGCTCATTCCATCAGTAAGTCACCTGGCTACAACCAGATCAAACGGTTAGTCACGTATTATTTTTCCCCGTTATAACATCTAGAACTGAAAGGACTCAAAATACGAGTTAACACGTGAATAATTAATTTAACAGTCACTTCTTATCAGTATAAGGATTTAGAGATTGTTGAGTTTTTATTGAGTTCATGAATCAATCAATTTTAGACAACCATTTAAAACCTGGAAGCACTGGATGGCTGTTTCGTCACAGCATGGGATTCCTCGCGCGCGAACGTTTAACCTCTAGACCACTGATCCCGCATCCAACGGTGTCAATGTCTAACGTCAATCAATCCACAGTACTGAGTGACCATTCTGAGTGTTGGATCGTGGATATACAATACCGAAGAGTCTCATAGTAGGACAAAACGGCCTTCCAGTGCTTCCAGGTTTTTAATAGTGGTCTAACATTGGTCGATTCATGATTTTAATCACTCCTCACTTTTGAGTAGTCCAGTTACATTTATTTCTCTGGTTATTTTGGATTCGAGTGTGGGATTTATTGTTTGGCATAATTACAGAAAACGTACTCGGTGATACTGTCAGTTATGGAATACTTTGATAATGTTAAACAAGCAATATATTAAACTTTTTATTCAACTAATTACTATGAATAATGAAAGGAATCCATTCTATTTCAAGGCTTCTAATCAGTTGCAAACAGCTTGAAGTTACAAAGAACAATGTAATTAGAAACAACGGTATGATCCATTTTAGTTGGTCAACTTCATACTGATATCTGAAACGAATCTGCAAGTCACAAAGATCAACATTGAATACAAGATTCAGTACTGCAGTAAATTAAAAGTATCACATAATATACGTCAAAAATAAGATAAACAACTGGCAATGTAAATTGGAGTTAATTACCTATAATTATTGTCTAGTCTTTGATAATATTTTATCATAATTATCGATAGTTAACTCCAATTTACATTGCCAGTTGTTTATCTTATTTTTGACGTATATTATGTGATACTTTTAATTTACTGCAGTACTGAATCTTGTATTCAATGTTGATCTTTGTGACTTGCAGATTCGTTTCAGATATCAGTATGAAGTTGACCAACTAAAATGGATCATACCGTTGTTTCTAATTACATTGTTCTTTGTAACTTCAAGCTGTTTGCAACTGATTAGAAGCCTTGAAATAGAATGGATTCGTTTCATTATTCGTAGTGTTTTGGCCTTGGTTAAATTAATGAAGGCACCATGTCGTATATAGTTCCTATGAATTAGATGCTGAATTAAAAAATAAGTTAATTAACTAACCGTAAGTAATAACAGACCAATCAAGATATAAAGAATAATTCGATAGCTTGATTGTGCCGCTGACCATAGAAACTCGAAACAACCCTGAAAAGGGTGAACAAAAATAGAAAATGAAAGGAGTGAATGAGAAAATTATATTAAATTGTAAAATGATCCAAATATAAGTTCTTTTGCCCACTCGCTTGAACTATATTTCCGTTTATAACAAATGTGAATCATAACTGAGTGTATAAATCAATATAGATGAAAGAACTTTTGAATGTATAAACAAGTGACTGAAAATAAAATGCTTAGAATAATTAGACCACATGACACTGAAGAGTGACATGAGGCAAAATAAGCACCTTTTGACGACTAAGAATAAAATATACTTAAACATTACAATAACAACTTTGCCGACTTCTGTCTTATGTTCAGTGACTGTATATAGTTTTTGTCACGAAGTGATATAACCTGAAAAATCAGTACAGACTTGACAACACTGGATACATGTGTCAAGCCTGTCTAGCGCTCCTGCATGGAGTAGAGGACGTGGGTTCCAGGCTTCATGACAAACACAATATCTTTAAAGAGCAAATTAGTGACCGAATGTTCAGTCCACATTTCAAATTTAAACCAATGATTGGTACGAATCAAATGTAATTTCAGCTGTACTTTCTGTTTTTTTGTAATCAGAAGGGTAAAGTATGACAATCTATACTTCCGGACTAATGGCATTTGGGTTGGACTTTACAAACTACTTCTGATTTTCTCTCGTAAAACCTTGATACTTTTGGATTCTATTAATCAATGGTGAGGTATATCTCCTACAATGTTTAGCTCCTAACTCGTATTAAATCAGATCTATTTTACTTAAATTCGTTGCGTTAACTGCAGCACTGTTCTATAGATCTATCAAAAGTTAAGTCTTATACAAATAGTTCAATTGTTCATAATTTTGATAGTGTTAGACCAAACAGCTGTAATCCAAACCGTTCCTGATATTACTTTACTCTGTATACCTGGATAATTCCACTCTTGAAAATAACAAAAATTAGTAGGACACTACAGGGCTTTGTAGAAAGTTTGTGATTTGTTTAAAAGCATCTAGTAATCTTGAAGCTAAGTTTAAACGCTGACTCATGATGAGTATAATATCTTTTAAAATCAGACAGAACTGAAAGTCGAGTTTGACCTGATTTAGTACTTCTCTATGATCCATTTTATTTATCCTTCTCGGGATTGAATTCATTACCACCGAGTTTCAACTTGGAACATAAATCTCAAAGAAGGCCAGTAATTAGTGGTAAAAAATAGTTGTTATTTACCATAGCCATACAGATAAAATTAACATATCTTACTTAGCATAACTTTTGGACCTCCATATAGGTAGAATCATTGATTTCATTCTCTTGCGGTAGTTTTCAAACTATTCTTCCACTTACAAGTAACGAATGTAGTCTTTTCTTATGTAAAGTCCGTAACTTAAGCGTGGCAATAAAACTTCACTTCAGTTATCCGGTATGTTTTAAAGCCAAGGATAATGGTAATACTGAAGGATGAAACAGAACATGACATGCCAAGTACCAACCGTAAAAAAGTTTACAACAAGCGTATTCTCGGATGTTTATTGGAGTATTCTGCTTAACCGTTATATAATTTAAAGCCTATAAATTCTCATATTTAGTTATTGAAAGCTAAGATGCTATCTTAGTGAACAATGTTTAAATAGATACTATAACCAGTGTTCTGATTTTATCGAATAGAACTGCGAGATATTTGTCTAACATTTTTCAGACAGTAATAATGGCAGGGTAGTTACATACTGAAATATAGATAATCGAACTCCTTAACTTTAGTTGAAAAATAAAGCATAATCATTGATAATAATATGAGGAAGAGGCTTGAATGAATATAAAGAATTGTATTCTAAACAAATTTACATTTTATCATTAATAGCATTTTTCAGGTCAATATTTAATCTAACGACCTGTGCTGTTGACAAAATTCGTTTCATCAGTTAAGGATTCACCAACAGGCATTATCTATATAAACCAAATACTTGAGTTTACCAACTGTTATACCCATGAGATCTTTTTCGTTTGATAGTTCAATTAAGCAGAGAAAACATGTTCATATCTCGCTGTAAATATGGCATTATCGTTGACGTTTAGCACTTTCAAAACTAATTAGTGTTCTTAGCAGTTATTCTGGAAGTTACTAAATGTCTCAAAGTTATTTTTATCCCTCATTTATTATCAGATATCACTCTTTATTATCACATTCATAGACCAATAGTCGTAAAGTATGAACTAACATATCATTATTAGATAGATATTGGTTTTCACGATATTCATTGTAAAAAAAACAGTTCATTAGTGAAAACACATGATTTCTTCGAATGTTCTTTTCAGTATCTCCGATATACAACAACAGCCGTGGAGCTAATTTTCTGTTATATTAAGTCAATTAGCTCAACATCTACTAAACACTTATTATTTTTTATTTTATCTTGCTACGTTAAGGGTTGGTGCCAAAATATGTGTATCTATGGTGGTCATGTTATATACACAATGCAGTTCTAGGATAAAAAGTGGCCTTTTTGAAAAATATTAGTGTTTATCGATTTTCTTTTATGTGAAAAGGTAAAGATTAAAACTCACAGTGTCTTTATAACTATTCTGTGTTGTTGGACGTTCCCAGCATTCTTTGTCTTTTATATCTTTACAACAAGAGGCTGGAATCTTATCTAAAAAAATAGAGAGTTTAAGTGATTAAATTAATTAATTGATAAAGTTCGATATTAATACTTGATTTTACTACCGACTAGTAAACTCCTCAGTAATATGTGTGTTAACAATTTTTTGAATCTCTGTTTATCAATGCTACTAAATCATTTGTATTTCTGAAGCATACATTCATTTATAAAGTATTCGACTACTCAGAGCACTCTTCGAATTCCGAATAGTCTTAAATGTACATTTTAATAATCCATCAGTTATCCGAATGAATCTGTTCAAAGTTCATTAAGTTAAGATTAATTTCAACTTATCTATTTCTAGTTGTAAAGTAGTTTATTTTTTTATAACTTAACAGTATTTTAGAATACTGATTCTATGTTAGAAAATACATAAAAAAGAAACAGGCCACATGATTGTTTCCTCATCATATTTAATAACTTACCATGTATAAAGTTGATTCAGTTATTAGAGGTATTTCAATTATTTTAAAGATATATGTTGATGATTTTGTTTAGAAAAACAACGAAAGCTTCACAACTAAACAATTTAACTCAAAGAACATAAAACCTTCAAAATGACATAAAATATAAATTACAGTTTTCTGGGCAACTCTATGGTATCACTTTCTTAAAGTTACCCTTAAGATTAATTTCAAATTACTCCACTTGGTGAAGACAGCCTTAATTAAAGTTACATTTCGTGATAAACTTCACGTATGACACCCTAAAATTATTCAAATAGATAAAATTCAATGTCGTTAGATGATGAAAGACTGCCGACTCATATTACGCTTTGCTACAGTTTGGGTTTACAATCAGATTAATATTAGATAGAGCATTTTTAACAGTATTCTTTGAATTAGTTGTTAGATCTATATTTAAAACCACCTACATACATTATCGATGAGGACCTTATATTGACGATTATAAGAGGATGAACGTAATTTCTGATCCAAAAATGTGTCAGATTGCAGAGATGTGAGGACGGACCACGGGTGAACTCGAGAAAGCTGTAAGAGGCTCAGAAGGAGCCGAAGATATCCATCCAATCACCTTTCGGAAGAATGTTCTAGAATCCCTATGTGTAGCTTCCCGATTGGACAATGCTAATAACTTCCTGTATATGGATTGGAGGACTGTAACGATGATTTCGTTCTTACTAAAAACTATGAATACCTGACAATTTTGTACTATAATTGACACTGTCTGGAACAATATTTCTTTTACTAGTCTTCTGTCTTCTCATTGAGACTTGGAAGGGTTCTGGCGTTCTAGTCCTCAAGTTATACGCGGTATATCAAGGAAACAACCATCTAGATATAACAAGAGAAGACTCATTAAAATACTTTCAGTTCTGAACAGGATTGAAGACAATATGGATCAATTGTTTAGTTCCACTTTATACTGAATGTATCATGTGGTCCTACAAGGGATACTAATGACGCAGCAAATATAAATATTTATAGATAAATCAATCTGACACTGTTCTCGGTAATATAAAACAGTCTTCGTGTGATTTAATGAAAGAAGGGAAATAATAAGTCATATTTCAAATAATCTATAAATATGAACATATAAAAAAGTTACTTTCCAGTAAATCTTTGAATGATTAGAACAAGGAATAGCACTTACAATTTTGTCGTTTGAATGATTCATTATCTTGGAAGTCACGATAGTCAAAAGAACCACAGCATTTATGCTTGATTTGAATAAAAATAGATAAGTGTTTAATTAATCAGCTAAATAATGATGATAAAAATATTTTCTGAAATTTAACTGAATATCATCTATGGGATATCTGCTGATTTTTAAAATATCCTTGTGGAAGCTTACACTTCAATCATACCAGTCATAATTTCATAGCTGACATTGCTTTAGTAGCCAACAAACACTTATGTGAGTTTCTAGAAACTTAAGTTTTATTTCAATTTAACTAAGTACACTCATTTTCTTTAAAATTGTCAAAATTAGTGGTTTTGCTGAACAACTGCACAAATAACAGTGTATGTGACCTACTCTCACCTGTGATTCAAGTATGCCTAGTTGACAGTGTTCAGTGAACACTTGAAAAAGGACGTGGATACAGAAAAATCCCATAAATAAGGATTTATTTCATCAAACAACTGTTATAGTTAAGCTTTTACACATTACTCAATAAAAAATCACTTAATTAGGAAATGTAAAAAGTAATAAGCTTTTTACTCAGCTATTTATGGTTTGATATTTGCATCACTATATATGAATTATATATATAATGTTACTGATTACTTAATCGATATAACTAGGACCATAAGTCAACCGTTTTACCACTTAATAATTATTTACATGTATCTGTCACCCTACTTTTAGAAAATGGTGATAAATTGCTGAGTCTACAATCTCTTTTTCCTTTAAAAAAATGTAAAAACAAAGACCGCTTACTTATAATTTCTTATAATTTTAATTACTTCAATGTTCAAGTACCCTTTCTTTAATCTAAGTTATAACAGCTTACTTATTGATACATAACCTTTATTTTCATCAGTGATTCTCCATGGATTATTCAGTATGTAATTTTCGATCATTTAAATTTTTATCGTATCTTCATGTTAGAAACAATAGCCTTTATTTCAATTAATAAGACATAATTAAGTCGAAAGGGAATTGTTTTGTATTCATGATTTTGTATTTTATGAAGTGAACTTGATTTTAGTGTGTCGTTACGTTAAGTCTTAGTATTAAAATTAGCTGTTAATAGATTACTTGTATTCATCGGAACAAAAGAATTAGTGAAAAGTGTATTTGTGCAAGTTTTGAGACATTTCATCTATCGTCCAGCTTTCTCAGCATGTAGAACATAACATAGAAAGTTGATCGAAAACTCTAAATGCGATTTTCCTATTTCTTGTTCAGTAAGCAAACATACATTTAGTTTAATGAACTTAGTCAACAGTAAATCTAAATAGGATACTTATTTTTTATTCCCATACACAGAAGCAGTGGAAATAACGCATATAAATGTCTAAAATCAAAGCCATGGATCTTACCTTTCGTTGAATTTCATTAACAAATACAGTAAAACCGGTGTTTGGTGGAAAATTATTGTCCATATGATAATCACTAGTAATTGATCTTCTATAACTTATACCCAGCTCATCACGGAACTGGAATTTAAATACATAATATAAATAAACTCAATGAAATTTGGCATGTATAAACAAGAGATAAACTACAACAACCGAAATAAATGGGAATTATTCATAGGTTATTTTATTATGGACGTTTAAACAATATGTCTAACATGAGTAAATGAGATGTTTGGATTTGCTAACGTAATGAAAACGAAATTTGAGAGTTTTACATTTAGGAATATTTGGAGAACTAATATTAGTCAATAAAGTGAGATTTAATATAAGGGCATATTCGCGATCTGTACAAGATCATACCAAGAACCTTTAAATGTTATTCGGAACATATTATTCATCTACTGAGTTGAAACTCAATGGTCCTCATTTTCTGTTTTTTGGTAAACTGTCATCATCCTATGTTGTCAGAGCAATTTCGTTTCAGTTCCGATCAGGCTGACTTCAAGTATCATAATTTGGTTAGATCTGAATGACATTCATCCTAAAGCTAGTTAGTATTGAGAAATTGTTATTCAAATAATGCTGGTTCTTGAATGAACACACCTCCCAATGATCCAAATGCTCCCAAGTACTTACTTGAAGATGGGATACATGGGAATAAGTAATGTAATTCTGGGTATTGTCATTCAATATGATTATGGGGCGATTTCAACCAATAAACACATTTTCTTGTAAAGTAGTCCTGATTGTTCAGTACTGTCTGTGGTTTTAAAAGCCAAATTAGTTACTTCTGTGTAGTACTACTTATATAATATTATACAATTAAATTCAGAATTTCTAAATAAAAACACTCCTCTTCTTTTTGTTTAACTGCACTTACTAAGTTGATGAGATTTATTACACGTTATTAATAACAAATCTTATATACATTGCGCTATACAGAGAAATTTGCCCTTTAAATGATCAGAAACCATGATATTTATTGTGTACCAGTTACGTAACTTTTTCACCGAAATGCTAGATGCATTAGCAATTAAACTAAGTGTGAAGGAATAGATAAATCAATGTGGCTTTCTTAAGTTTGCCTATAGACCTTATAGGTTTGAAACCATGATTTATTTCCAGCATTGTGACCATCTTTGATCACACCATTAAAATCCATAAGAACGGAAACAAAGGAAAGCTTTAAATGGCAAATAACCGAAGTGTTTGCATTAGTGAGTAATAAAGTTGTTGACTTGACAATGAACTCGCTAACTTTGTCAACAAACGACAAGAAAACTCTGACGAAGTGATTAATGGTACAGTTTGTGTATTACTAATGAAATGCATTATAGGGATAGGGATAAATTGAGCCCGAAACTGATAAATTACCAGGTCTAATAATTTAAAAGCTATAGTACCAGTGAGGTTCTCATTTTTTACATTGACCATTGACAGAAGCTCACAAAAAATCACATTTGAAAAATGAGCAAACATTGCATGTACCATAGATCATTATCGTCTAGATATTCCTTATGAACGACAACGGACTGAATGAGTGTTTCGCATTCTTGCATCCTTTGGTGGTAGCTCCTTTCTTCGAAATTTCTTAATGGCAATTCTGGTACACTTGGAATTTACAACTGAAGTAAATCTGAATGACTGTTTTTCTCTTGTATTTCAAAAAGATGCCTGTTAATACAACCACTTAATCAATTACATGTGCTTAGTGAATAATTTAAGAAACTTGACAATTTGTTTCATAATGATCTTTACAGTGTAGATGCATGAAATGTGTTGTGAGTAATTATTCATAGAAATCTAATAGACATAAATGGTATACAGTCATAATCTTTATTGATTAATTTCCTCCTTCGTAATATTTGCTTGGAAGTTAAAAATAGAGAATACTAAAACATAATCAAACTAAACGATTGTTATAAATAAATAATATATTTGTAATATCCCAGTGAGTAGAAAAATGAGATTTTCTGACGTTTCGTGACTTAGTGCAAGTCACTTCTTCCGAGAATAAATCCAAGTTTAAACAGTACTATTTAAACTATTTAAACAATCTACCCAATGCTCAATTCATTCGAAATTATCAAATTAAACCATGGTAATGATACCTATAAACGATTGTTAGTTTTAACGATTTTTATGTAACCGTATATTAGGTTAAACAAATACGCGGTACTTGCAATTGCTCGAAGCTGGTTATTGGGTGAGTAAAGTACTATTACATGTTAAGAATTAGGCTTTTTCAGTGTTTCTTTCCAAATACGTCTATTGTCATAATTAAAATATTAGACTTTCCTGTCTTCGAAAAAAAAAAATAACTAGTTTAACAAAACCAAATAATACTAAAGCATGCAATCATAGGAGTTTACTATTTTATTTAGAATAATTCATTATAAAAAGAATCAACCCACCCAGTGTTTACGTGTTCCAAATACAATAGTGAACACAAGCAGCGCCAAAAATATGACTAGAAGAAATGCTGCATACTGAAATAAATGTTATATGAAACAACAGAAGTATCAAAGAAATATAAAACAAGTTAGTTTATCTCCATAATAATTCTGATGGTTCAGAAATGGTTTAGTTAAGCGATGAGAATAGGAAGTCAATATAAATCAATATGTGTTCAAATTGAGTTATTTGTTCATTTTAGGCTTTGTACAGTAGACATTCCAGCATCAAGCTGGATAGCATCATCAATTCAGAGTTACTCCTATTCAAAAATTCACTGACGAAGATATCTGATTTAGTATAAAAACATGTAAAATAAAATTAAGAATTAAAAAACCATCCAGTTTGAACAGATATTACATGAGCTGTAAGCAGCAGTTTATCTATCAATTTTAAAATGGTCCATGTTTCTTTTTCGTCAGTGTTAATTATTTTCTGTAAACTGTTGAACTAAATGAGTCATTTAAAAGAAAACCCAGTATGTTACAGGTTTCAATCTCTACCGATTAAACATTTCCAAACGTGTGTACATTGCACAACATACTAAAAAGGAATGATCGACTTAGTATAGTTATGCTGCCTCATTTTAAATTAGAATAACACAGAGATTGAGGGAATGACATTATCGATACCAATATTATTAGAGAACTAGAAAGAATAACGAATATGGTAATAAGAAATAAAAGGTTATATTGTATGGAATAATAATAAATATATTTAGAAAAAATTAAAGTATATGAATGGTGAATTGATTTATACTACTGTTATTGTTGAGGGATAGACGAATAACTAGTATATTTGATATATTCTATGTAAGATAATAGCAACACATGTGTTTGGATAAAGCCAGAATGACAATTTAGGTAGAATAATATGAAGTCATTACATTACGTGGTTTCTCATTATCTGCTTATAACTTTATTTCTATCAAAAGGTGACATTGAGAAATGCAATGATAAGAAGTTATCTGATAAGTCTTGCTAATTGAACGCTATATTCGGTCCCTAAGCTATTCTCGTAGCCTCCAAGCTAGAACTACACAGTGACCTGAACACGAGAGAAAAGGCGCAAAATATGCGAGAAGCACTTTACTCCAAAGGTTCGTTCTAATACATAAAATATAGGGTTTTTATAATATATTTTAGACGTCCCTGGGTTTCCCGAAAATTCTGGAATGTTACTGAACATAGGAGAAATATAGTAATCAGCTAATCAGAAACTCTACATGTTACTTTTCGCTTTCTTGATGTTTCTGGCTAAACTTCAAGTGAACGCTGATTGGACAAAATGCTTCTTAGTGTTTCCTGAGCCTTTCTTGTCTTGTGAGAGAAGTTTTCTAGATCACCTCAACATTATCGACATTGATGACGGAGGAAATTAGAATGATAAAAGTTAGCAATCATAACTATGTCTGTGAATAAACAGGTGTGAGGTTATTTGGAAACGGAATTAAGGAGACATAGGAGGTTGACGTAGTTATTATATGGAGTCCGGAAACAGATAAAATGGATCGTACGACAATTATAGATGTAAAGAGTTTACATAAGTTTCAGACCACTTGAAAATAAATATGGAAAATTTAAAGCGATGAGGTAAGCGCGAGAACCATAGAAATTATATATCATTGTCAGTACCAGTAAAGTACTCAATTGTCGTTGAACCGATTGAAAAAATAAGTAGACTTTCAACTTGAAGACCAAAAACTTTGAAAAGATAGAATATTTTCCAAGCAATCCGTAATACTGCCAATCATTATTGAACAAACGGCTGAATACATCTCGTCACTTAAGATCAACTTCCTTGACTATGAGAAAGCATTTGACAGCGTGATTATGGGAACCTTATGGGACCTTTTACGACACTATGGAATACCTGAGAACTACACTGTAAAGTCATGCATGAAGACCGGCATCATGCAAAGTTGCATACTTTCGCCCTTTAATCTTATGGTTGGATCTTGAAGACCTCCATATTTCAAGGAAAACAGAATAGATTTGACAGCTTGAATACAGCTGAACAACATGAACTTCGCAGATGAGTTAACCTTTCTATCACATACATAGTAACAAATGCAGGCAAAGACGCCCAGTATAGCAGCAGCTTCTGCAGTAGTAGGTCTCAACATCCACAAAGAAAAAGCAAGATCCTGAAATACAACTTAGCGAACATCAAGCTCTGAAAGCCTTTACGTACCTCGACAGTATCACTTAAGGATCCGATTCAGGTGTAAAGGCAAGAATTGGCACAGCAAGAGCAATGTTAATGCAATTAAAGAATGCCCTAAACTCCAAATCAAACCTTTCAAAAATAACGTTAGAACAGTTCAAATATATGGTGCTGAAAGTTAGAGAACTACCACTAACATGACCAAAACAATACAGGTTTCCATAAACAACTATCTACCAAAGAAAGCTTATATTCATCAGTCGGAGACCATCAGCAATAATCTACTGTGGCAGACCAGTTGCTGGTCGAGGAGAAAATTAAAAAGACACAAGTTGGATAAGAAATAATTTATAAAAACCATCAAATCGCACTATGGGGTAAACTCAAATTTGGAATCTTCGAGACAAAAGGGAGAGGTAGGCCAAGAAACATATAACACCGGGAAGTGGATGTGGATATTAAGATCATGAATAGAGCAATTGGATATAAGAGAACAAGATAGGGTCGGTTGGAGATTCTTGGTCGACTGTGTATGGCCTGATAGAGGCAAAAGGCCTAAAAAGATCTAAAAAAACGCTATACTAATGATGAAAGTTTCATTTTACTATTTATTAATTCATTTGCTACTCCTCTGTTAGGTAGTCGGAAAAATAGACCAATAATTATGATGTTAAGTCCAATGGTGTCCCTGAACCTTAAATGTACATTCCTTATTGGTCGATGTTTATTTCACTTGTTAAATGTTGTACAAATGTTGTTTCCTATTTATGGTACGATGTGGTTTGTTTGCTTGGTATATAAATATAGTATGTTTGAAATATAATGATTCATATATCCGAGGCTGTGACTTGCGTTCTGGACTCAACTGGCTGGGCTATACAGGGAAGCGAGACCAATCAGAACCCTAGGTCGTTCTACGTGTTTGCGCGTCTTTGGTCCGATCAATAATTCGCTATCCCTTAACCAGGAGCATTTATTTTTCACGTTATAACATCCTCAATGAGTAAAAACAAAAGATGAAATTTTTGACTTTTCACGACTTAGTTTGGATTAACATAAGTTTAAATAGTACAAAGGAATAAGGCGGAATATTTACTTAAGTCAAAATAGAACTCGTAGTCACAAACCCTAATTTTCACTCGTTGTGATATCACAGATATATCATTAATTTATAGCCAACAATCTAGCCAATGTTCAGTTTATTTTAAATTATCAAGTTAAACCTTGGTAATGCTACTTCTTACTAAATTTATTTGTTCAAGCGGACTGAAATCAGTTAGTCATTGATTATGTTGATGTAGTTCAATTGCCCTTTGAATTTTGTTATTGTAATATACTTTGCTTGTTTATCAACATGTTTACTTTTGATTAATTAACACCTCTATAGGTTAAGGTCAGTTCATCTTAGTTGAATTAAACTATTCTGCAATTCTATGTTGTAATGATAAAAGGTTATCATTTCATAGGTCTGTATTTCTGTTCTAATAATCAACAAGTTATCTTTAAAATTAATCTACCCTGAAAAAATAAAATCAAGGTTATTAAAATAAAGAATATTGTGTACAAACTAATTCAATATCAGTAGTTTGTAATAATTAAGTGAAATCAATCGAACCATAACGATACTCAATTATGAGTGAAATGAAAAATTTATATCAGCCGAAAATTCCCTACATTACTGCTTTTTGAGTGACGTCTAAATCTTGTAATTCTATTCTTAAACAAACTGTTAGAGTCAACATTATAATAAACTTTAACTAATGACAATTTTAAGAATAAATAATCTGTTGGCGCAGCAACGCTATTTTATTCAGTTATGAGTTTCATATAGTTATATTTCATGGGTTGAAGTGGACAGCATCTTATTTCATGTGTAATTTCTAAATTGATGAATTTAGTCACATTTATTTTATTTAATTAAATAGTTAGTAACAAAGAAATACACGCCATGAGTTTACAGGTGATCATCAACTTATATTCCTGGGTTACTGATGGAGATAATTCCTAATCGGTCTTAGTTTATGCAACACTTTCGAAACTAAACTACACTCAACGAATATCAATGTTGAAATTTTCGATACCTTGAGAAACTGTGATGGGATACACAGCAAAATTTAAGATCAATTTATACTATACATATAACCATTAGTGAAACAGAACACTGTCTAGAAAGTAGAATAAAGTGTAGCAGTGTGGACCAGGAGAAAAAGGAAGTGAAACAGATGGATGCATGATTGTTATTTCTAATCTGTAAAGATTATCTATTTTCTTCATGCTTTATGATTTACGTGATAATCTTGATGGCAAATTTATCAAATGTTTGATAGTAAAGTGTTTAAATATTTGCAGACAGTGTATCTTATTCAGCTCTTTTTACATCTGGATTTCTTTTTCCTACATTTCTTCGCAATTTGTGGTAGAATAAAAACGTTAGAAGGAAAAGTAAGTGGTACATGAAAGGGAGAAAACAGAAAATAGAACAAGTCAGATGAAATAACAAGGAAGAAATAATAATACACTATAATTTAAAGAAGGAAAGAGGAGGGTGAACAAATCAGCTAAGGTGGGTAAGTGAAAGCTAGACGTTTTTTAATTAGTAACTGAATATCACCCAATGAGTTAGAAAAGTGATCTGAACTGTGATTTACCCGACAGACTTACATTGAATCAAAACTAAAGTTACACAGAAGTAAAGTTGCTCGAGTTTATCTGATTCTTAATTGAAGATATGCGTGACTGACTAACGTATTATTCTTATTATTCAACCATCAGTTGTGTGATTATCACACACTTTTTCATTTTAGTCGAAATTACGGTTGATAAATCACGAGTTTCTGTTTACAAACGTCCAACTAATGTTATTCAAGAAAGAGAATTCCAACCAGTTTGATTTTTGAAAACCCACCTGTTTATGACAAGGCCGTTTGGACATTATGATTATCCGACAGTAATAGAGAATCAATTACAAATGCATAACTAAGACAGTTAATCAAGAGAGCTGAATGACAGACATGGACCTAACCAACTGCTAGATTGGATTTGTTTAAGATATAAAGAATTAGAAGAAAGCTTACAATTACAGTTACAACATAATCTTTTATAAAACAGTTGTTTATTCAATGTTCTTATGAAACGCTTGAATTGGTTAATAGTTGACTTAATGAGTCGATTTAAGCTAGACCAGGATTGAAAAGCTGGAAGCTTTGGGTGACCGTTCCGTTCTAGTATGAGACTCCTCAGCAGTGAACATCCACGATCGCACATGTGGCAGTCGAACCCATCACCTTCTGTCTCACATGCCAACGCTTAACACCCGCACCACTGAGTCGGCATCCAACCATCTTAATGTCTAACTTCAACCAATCCACCATATTGTACGACCGTTCATCATTGTCTTCAGTGAATAACTGCCTCATAACAGACACGGTCGAGCTCCACTGGTCACGGCTTCTCACTAGAACTCCGGGAAATACCTCTTGAAGCCAGTCACTAGTGTGCACATGATGATTATTATCGCATTCGCGCGCGAGACCGAAGATCCTGGGTTCGAGTCCCATATTAGGGGTTGTGGATGCGCACTACTGAGTAGTCCCATTCTAGATTCAAAAAGCAGTATGGTGCTTCCAGGTTTCCCATGGTGGTCTAGCTTTAATCGACTCATGAATTCAAATATTAAATTATTACAATCTCCACAAAACCTCCATTCTGATTACTTGTATTCAGATTCATAAATGTTGACCTAAAATTAAGTTTCAGAAATGAATCAATTTCAGATTTTTATAACATAATAGAAAGCATTTTGATAGTGGCTAATGGAAGAGTTTGTATGTACATTACAGCCCGTTTATGATGAGCTCGAATTTACTTACATGTGCCCATTAACTTTACTTCCTCAAGATTATTGAGCTGATTTGGTGAGTTGAGTTTAAAAACATGTTAGCTCAGTCATTAAACAAACCAACGGAATAAGATGACTGTTATGTCATTTAATTTATTTAAATCGGGAACAGCATCTTCACTCTCATGTCGTGTTTTAGTTTACTTCATGAAAATACTTTGTAATTTAAATAACTTCTATGGTTCATTGCCATATAGTTAATCAAATACAACTTAAAACAAAAAGTATTCCACTTTTAGAACAATTTGAAAGTAGTTGCTACTAATAACTTACTAATCCAAGTAAGATTTTACTCTTGCAGCATACTCCACATATTCCACAGAGCGACAATACGCAAATGAAGAGACCGAACAAGAAAATTGCCAAACCATAAGAAGCTGGTTATAATAATTAAGGAAATAACATAGGAAAAGAAGCCGTTAACGTGTTTAAATATTTAAGCATCAATAAAATGTCTGACATTTCATCTTATATAACATACCAAAAAGTGTCATATTCATCACCGACAATTAGCAAGAATCTGTTTAACAACCCAACTCTATGTGGGAATTACAGTATCAGTAAACTTATGTTTTAGAAATCAATATCGATTTGTAGTAAATCCTTTCTTCAGTCATACCTTGGAAAGCTTTGGAAGTGATAAAAGTCAATTGCTCCAAAGTCGCTTATTTATATGAAGAAATCATCATTTTGTATTCACTGAATACGATCAGAGAGAGAGGTTGGGGATATTACCAACTGGGTCTATAGCTCACTATCTGTGAAACTGTACACATCCACATACCAATGGAGGTCTGAAATGTATACTATTAATTATTTTTCGAATAAGATGTAACTGATTTGCTATTTGAAGTATTACTTCGACCCGTGTTGTTTTAAAATAAAACTTCTGGAATAGAAAATACTTACCAAATAACGTTATTCTTTCTTCTACTAATTTTTGAGCAGCTTCACGTGCATTCTCATCATCTATCTCTTCGATAATCGTAGGAGTAATTCGTTCAACCAAAAGTTTTTCATTCCATCGTATTAAAGCACCAAAAACCACAAGTCCTAAACCAATAATCTATTAAAAATCCATAAGAAAGTGTCTCAACAGTTGAAGTAAAATTTAAACTTAGAACTCGAAAACGTAACAGAGAATACTGAATGACAATATTGGTTATAGGAAGATTGATCGTTACGCTAATTAACAAAAATAACTCTATCGCAGTAAAGATTAGAAACTTATAAATAGATTTTTACCTTAATAATATTTTACTGTATGTATCTATACATTTCCTATGAGTAATGTCTCTCTCAAGTACGATGTAGTTTAAGCAGAAGTGTAGCTCTAACCAAAATCTCCAGTTCATTCATTAACAAAATACCATCACATAGTCAATAGTTTATTTTCAACTAAAAAAATCATTTTAGTTCAGCTCAAAAAATGATAAGAAGACTATTCTTAGAGAAGCACTAACACTTATGTACATAAATAAAATACATGAGCGCAGTTTTCTACTACATAATAGCCTACCGTTTGTAACATACAAACTATTTTAAATTTTGGCATAGAGTAGATGGAATGTGGCTAGATGTAGAATCCGGGATGCGTGTTTCCTTTCATTTAGGACTCGTCAGCCAGTGTGCCTGGATTCTAGAGTTAGTGTTCACTACAAGAATCAAACCAAGGATCGTTCACTTTAAACATTATCGCGTTGCCCACTTAGCTAGTGAGTTCACATAACCACTCACTAATGCAACAAATATGAGTATTAATTAAATTTGAAATGGATTGGATTATTTCATTATTGATATTTTTAACTGAAAGTTAATCACTTGGTTGACACAGGTCATCAAGTCGAATTGAATAAAGCTTTTAAGGTTATCTACAATACCCCATTAAATTTGCCACATGATTTACGAGTGCGCCTCTTGCACATTGCTGAAGCCATCGCAATCCATGTTCACAAACCTGACCTTTGCATTCAAAAGAGATTCGTACAACCACTTTCCCTGCCCTGGCCATCAGTTTAAGATTTCCTTCAAAAGAACTATTTTTCATACTTCTTCCACTTGTTTTTTTTAACTTTTGTAATTTCATTTCTGTCGTTTTTGAACATAATAACTTCTCAACATTCATCTCTTGATTCTTACGTAACTACCATCGTATTGACCATCCGTTAAAATTCTGTTCCTTCTTTGTTTCTTACATTACGCAACGTAGCAACTTCTTGATCACTTTGAATATTAATAATCCTCTTTCTTCCAATGAATCAATGTTAGTTTAAATGTAATTATTACGTAACGTATCTACTCGATAAGTATTATATTATTGTAAAACGTATATATATTATGTTTTTGATTGACATCATGAACCGATTAATGTTAGACCATCACAATTGAAAACCTGGAAGCACTGGACGGCCGTTTCGTCCTATTGTGGGACTCCTCAGCAGTGCGCATCCACGATCCCGCGAGCGGGATTCGAACCCAGGCCCTTCGGTCTCGCGCGCGAACGCTTAACCAACTGGACCACTGAGCCGGCATCCAATGGTGATAGTTTCTAACATCAACCAATCCACGAAATTGCGCGACCAACTTATATATATTAGTGTAGAGCCATGATGAAAAACTAATTGAAAAGAAATTTCTTCGCTCAAATTGAATTATTCTAAACTTATTCCGATAGCCATCTTATGAATTATACTAATATGCAGACTGTCTAACTTGAACCTTAAAATAACATATAACTAGCAAGTTTTTGCTTTACCTTACTGTGGTGTAAAAACAATAGTTGATGGACTTAGTTTTGCAATTAAAAGATTAGATATTTATTTATGTTAATAAACCACAATCAGTAATTGTATAACTTGCTTTCCAAATCAGGTAATCATGATCATTTTTCTAAAAGAAAAACACCTGGGAAACTATGTAAATGTTTAATAGATAGGAATGTTTAATGTTGTTTTTATGTTAGCAAAAAACAGAACAAAATATACCAGTGAACAGTAACACATTGGAAAACAAATTGCTCTGTTTTTAAAAAAATATATATTTAGTGATCTGTTTATCTGATGTACAGAGGAATAGAATAATGTTTTGGCAAGAATACCACAGTTATTTTTCTAAATAATTACGCTTCAACTAAGTATAGGAATTTCATTAGGAACTGAACTGGGTATCTCTTAAAATATCCCAAAAATGTTTTTTTTCTTCAGGTGGATATCTTTTTAAAAAAAAATCAAACCAATTCAACTTCTAAGCTTTATTAGTGACCGTGGGTATAGAGGGACTTCAGATATTAAGACAAAAGTCTGGTATAGGAGTGAAGTATTTTTAGATAAATGCAAATCTCTTACTTCGAAAACAATCTTTTTTGTTTGACTGTAGATGAGCACTGATAAAGATTTTCAAAATATCGTGAAATATATATCTGGTTCCCTCTGGTTTCCAATCACTACCTACTGAATATACGTTCTAGATAAAAGTTATCCATAAATTGAAGTTACCTAATTAAATCTTCTTTGCTTTTAAGATACTTCCACTTAGTACTAAGATCAATTAAATCTCAGGAGTATAAGTCACACTTTTGAGTACTCGTTAATTATGTCTTAATAGTGAGATTCCAATTTAAAACAAATTGCTTCAAACGTCAAGCGGTTATCTATCATGCCAGTGAGTAGTGAAAGATCACTTGTTTAGTGAATATTAATCACATGCCGTGGATAAAATAATATCGATATGATTTCGACAAACGAAAAAATTGTACAAGGACCCTATATGCTACAACAGATCAATTAACTTATCCATGAATATTAATAATGGGGAAGTATAAACTTTTACGATTCATGATATTTAGTTACTGACTTATTTTATAACTAGTGTGATGGAGTCAATCGGATATCGGAAATTGTTGCTTAAATGAATCTCGAACTCAAGAAATTGTATTCATAATTTAATTTCAACGATATATTTGATTGATCAATTAATAATTATATAATTCATACAGTATTATAGTCAAGTATATCATACATATCATTGTGGATTAGTGGTTACAAATAAACGCCACATGACTAGTGGATAATGTAGTTCATTTCATCGAATGAATACAAACTGGACAGATCCATTCAGGATTATCAGTCTTAAAAAAGTCAAGTGTATTTACCCTTCGACGATTTTGAGGTATAAGAACTCGCCTACCTCAAATGTTAAACAATTATTACTTTCGCTACTACTCAAATTAATAAGAACTTCAAAATATAATTACTAAATCAACGGTGACATAAGTGTTATACGGGTAGTTTTCGTAGTCTTTTTAGCTTCTTAGTTACCCTACTTTGTTAAACCTCACAGTCAAAGTTTTTAGCTACTTCTCATTTAATTCTTTTTCACTCCACTTATAGTTAGTAGTATATTTGGAGAATTATTATTTTTGCTTATGTTGAAATCAAGATGTACACATGAGCAAAAAATCTAAGTACTTGTAACAGTATGATGGAAACTCCTCAACTCAATCTATCTCTGTATTTAGAGAGACCTCCAATAAAAAATAAATGAAATAGTTTGGATTACTAATCAAAAACAAGTTTTTATTGCTGAATTTTACCTTCAGTATTAAGCTAGATAAATAAAAAACAAACATTCAATTCACTCTTCTTACCACTCTTAATGAAGTAAAAATAGGCCTTAATCGTTCGATTACTCAGAGAGTTAATTGTTAGCCTGCTAGTCATTCGTTTAAACTCAGAGAATACCCAAGTACTTTATCAGTTTTATTAGTCGTCTTAAATTACACTGAAAGCCACAATTCCTACATATTGTGACATCCTTTCATACCAATCACTATGATACAGAACCAAATAGCCTTTATATTACATTGTTTAAAGTTTAGTAGTATCCTAATACTCATATCATTCAAGTGTATTTAGGTTTGTTTAAAACATATGTGCTAACGAATCTTTCGGCTTTTATACATTGGAAGAACGACAACTTACGATGAACGAAAATAAATTCTCAAATATTCTAAGATTTACAATGTCAGACAAATCAATAATGCAAATATAATCGGACAGTATAGTTGCGTAGCTTCGAATGAACCCAAATACAAATGTGGCTACATCACAGCTGCTGGTAGTTCAAATCAGATATCAAAAAGCCTTAGTATTAAAACCGGAGTCCACTATCAGTAGTGATATTTGTGTTAGTTTTGGATTTGTATAAAGGTGTTTTTCTTGTTATCCAATCAGAAATGTCATTGTAACATCCTTCGTAAACTTAAAAAACCTTTTCATTTACATGATTGGACAACTTAAGGTGCTTTTGGCCGAACTTACAGGTAAGAAAAGATATCGGCTTGCTGCACATTTCTAGTCATTAATTAAAATAGAAGGGAAGCTCTACTTATCAGCTTTAGTCATCTAATGATGAGTGTGGGACCGGGTACAAATATGTATCAGCTAGTCTTATTGAACTTCACACTAAAACAAATTCAATCAGATAAATAAATAAAGGGGCTGAATTCATATGATTAATCAAGAAATCGAAAAGAACAACTGAAAATGGACGAATTCAGTAATGCTTAACGATAAAACAAAATGAATATGTTCTCCTGGATTACAAGTAGTGTATTAAATCAGTTTATCCATCACAAGAAAAATATAGTTACTTCAAAAATGTTCTCTTGAATGCAATTTTCTGGCCTAGCTAATTATTTTACTTATAATTATCGTGTTCATGATGTACTGAACTGTTCTTGATAGTGGAATTGTACAATGCTGAAATCCAGTTTGCGCGATTTACCAATAGTCATACAGAGTTAAAATATACTATCAGCATCAAATAGATGGCCGTGTTTGAAGGCTTAACTAGAATTTCGCTTCACTAAGTTAATCATATACAGGGGCAAATATTTGAAAATCATGATCATACTGACAACTATGCTTTGCGTTTTATGATTGTATGCTGATATTGGAATAATCTTAGCACAGAAAGCCGTTGTCCACCTCATGAAGACTGGACGATTAAACTCTAATTTAAAGCATAGGGACAAAGTCCTCAACATTTGATAAGCCAGTTTGTCTGGTAATTTCAATTCAGGTTGAAAAGTTAGTCCTAGTTAGTTACCACTCTATACTTTTAAACATTAATTAAATGGTTTCAATTAAAACCTATTAAACCAACTTTTCGTCAGATTGTGATGATTAGAAAACTCAACTAACTATAGTTACTTATGAACGTTATTCAGTAATTTTACGTTGACAGAATAAAATGAGATATTAATTAAACAACACATGTAAATCAACAGTTCAAAAAAGGAAGCATACCACAAGTGGGATGTTGAACAGTACTAAAATTGTACTCGAGATTACTTTACACATCCTGACAAACTATAAAGTACTTCAAACAAATCCGACCGCTACTTTCTGTATAGCCTGACGAAATAATGGTGTTTTGGAAGGTGATTTCCGTTATGTTCTCGTCATGAACACAACATCCGTGAATCCAGTTTCTCGAGCCAATCAGAAAAAGAAGGGTGACAAGACTTATGATTTGCTACACAAAATCTAGATGGGCAGTTTACAGATTGGCCAAATATGATTGACCAATTGGACAACTACATTCATATTGATTCGTAATTTGCATGTGATAGACTTTCGTGTGATGGATTTGTCATTCTGTTGTTTTACGGATGATACAATTAAGTGGGAATGAGTGACTGTAATGATTATTACTGTCATTACTTTTATAACAGATTAGGAACGAAAGTTAGTACATGATGATAAGCACATGATAGTAGATATGATATTAACAAAAAGACCAGAAATTAAGTTACAGTAACTTTCGAAATAGCTAGTCCTTTTGTAGGATTAGTTAGATAATGGGACACTTGCAAGTTTATGTACTAAATCGGAGCCCCATTCAGGGTGAAGGCCTATATTCAGCTGGAGAATAAGATCATACGTTATGCTTCTACAATAAAATATCCTTGTCGCTTTGTATGAAGGGCGATTTCCTGGCACGGGGGTTATATGCGAAGTTTGGCTAGACAAACATACCTTATGTATTTGTCTTCTGATGAAAGGGAATTATACACAGCTTATATTTGTCTTGAAATCTGTTCCTATCCTTCAGTCATTTGAATTTAGGGCGACAGCTTGTAAAGAAACGATATTGGCCGAGGTTTTCTTTCAGCCACAATCACCATCTTTCCATTGATTTTGCGCTTAGTTTAACGGTGATATCCAATTCTACACTTAGTTTTAAGGGGTAAATTAGTAGTACACTGATGGTGTTTTAGAATACAATTAAATATCCTTTCATAATTCCATACTTGTGTACAAGGTTGGTCCTATTGTCATATTGATCAATAGCGTTAATTTGTGTAACCTTGGACGTTTAGTTAAGCTCTTAGGGATTGTGCAATTTATGTTTTTCTTGTCTTCGAGTGTGTTGGTTGAGAACATTGCAGACAGTCCTTTTACCATTTGGACACCAAACTGTTGTTTATTTTTGTTAATTTCTAAAGTGTACTTGGGGAAAAGTATCTCACAAACCTTTATATTTCGACGTCTGATATCAAGCTTTTAATGACAGTTTGCTTAACAGTGAGTTTGGTTCGGTAATAAATACGAAATAATCACTTGCTTTTAAAGTCCTATCTGATTAATGTGCCTCTATGCATGAAGTGCTACCATTGATTGGATTCTGTCAAATGGGTTTAGAATATAATTACTAAGATAAGTAATTCGAATATACGATTGGCTGTATCTAATTTTGAGTAGTTATGGGCAATCAGCTAAGTGATATTCAACTAAGTCACACGTTCTATATGCAAATATCTTCAAAAACTATCAAGTGCAGTTTAACAAAATATATCATCGTCAGATGCTATTTATAATCAATTTGTGTAGTAACTTCGTATAAATAATAACTGAAAGAAACACTTTTATTCATAATGACAACTACGCTTTCAGTTTTACGATTGTATGCTGAGATTGGAATAATCTTAACAAACCATTCATTAAGCTTTCTGTATAACTTTTTTAAAACGTGATGGCGGAAAGGTTCTCCACTCAGTTTTAGCCGAGTGCTTTTGTTTATTGACTGACAGTGGTGCCTGTTATGAATATAAGCTCTTCATTTACTTGCTTTTTACATCACTTAATTACGCCTGTTACTCTTAATGAAGCATAGGCCGCCGACCAGCATTCCCTAACCCACTCTGTCCTGGGCCTTCTTTTCTAGTTCCATCCAATTCTTGTTCATTTTTCTCATGTCTATCTCCATTTCTCGGCGTTATGTGTTCTTTGGTCTTCCTCTTTCCCTTTGGCCTTGAAGATTCCATGTGATGGCTTGTCTTGTGACGCAGTCGGGTGCTTTCCTCAATGTATATCCTATCCACTTCCAGCGCTTTTTCCTAATTTCTTCCTCCGTTGGGATCTGGTTTGTTCTTTCCCACAGTTGGTTGTTGTATACGTTACGTGAAATGTCTCAAACGACCTTGTACAACTCGTTGGGAATCTGGTGTCCAGTGAAATGTATCTGTACCAGGGAAAAGATACATATATGTTAAGTTTCAGAATTAACTACTTCTATGAATTCCATGTTCATCTTGCTGTGCTAATAAGGTATGGCAACTTGGACCGATGCATATATTTGACTGGTCCTACGTTGTAGCTGACTGACTGAACGTTGAGTTTCTGTTGAATTAAAGCAGTTTCCTTAAGGATGTTTGCGAATGAATGGTAAGTATGCCTTATCAACATAGATGAAACGGTCAGTAATTTAGGGTTATACCCGCCAACTGTGGTACATAGCCTGTATTTTGTAGCTCTTCCTTACTTGGAATAACGACTTTACTCATTTCAGTTTTTATGAAACTTATAGAAATTATGTTTTTAAATAATTACAGCTTGTTTGCTTATTTATTTTTCTGAGTTTTTCTTTATTCAATAACGATTACAATTGTGATTCTAATCATGCAGCATGCAAAACATGAATTGCTTTCCAGCTTTTGATAATATGGTTTTTTGTTTACCTCATTTTTAGACCAGTTCCTGATATCTTGTTTCATCTATTAATGAAAGAACTTTATTTTCTATGACCTGTAGCAGTACTGATTATAATTAATTTTAGGAAACTGTCTGAAAGTATTCAGCCTGTCGTTTACATATTTTATTTTAATTTAATGTTTGTTGTTCAAAACGACGTCTTTCAGAACTTCGTCTTTTAGGTCTATAATGCTTGTAGACTCACCTATGAAAAATCTTTCATATTCCTTTTAAAGTAGACATTTGATTGGACAGTATTTTCCAATAGTACTCCTTGTGATCTAGCAAATTTATTATCAAAATGAGGAAGGCGTAGTTTCATAAGCGTTGCTTATACTAAACTTAAATTCTTTCCGATCCCTTTGATACACTAAACAGGTGAAGGATGAATTCCCAAGTTACACGATGTTCCAAGATAGTTTAGTAAACCGAATGTTAGCCTAGCCAGTCCCTCCGGGGGCTACTGCCGGTCCCAAGCCCGGATAAAGAAGGAGGGTTGGGCATGGGGTTAGCGTCCCCATCCCGTAGAAAACTAACTCGCTAAAAAAACGCTAACCAGAAAAAATTATTCAAACCTTTTAAACTCTGCCCTGGGAGTCAGAAGGTCTTCATTCAGAAGAATTATGACGCCTCATGATGAAAGCCGAATTCCTTCGGAAGTTACGAGGCCGATGCCCTTTCTGACAACCAGAGCGACCATTTATTTAGATACATGGAATGTTCGTACAATGTGGGACACCGGGGGAGCCTTCCAAATTGCTACAGAAATGAGAAGATACAACCTAGAGGTACTTGGGATCAGTGAAACACATTGGACACAAGTTGGACAACAACGACTAACTACAGGATGCTCCTGTTATACTCCGGCCATGAAGAAGAAAATGCACCACATACACAAGGAGTTGCATTGATGCTGTCCAAACAAGCACAAAATGCACTTATAGGATGGGAATCTCATGGACCAAGGATCATCAAAGCCTCGTTTAAAACAAAGAAAGAGGGCATTTCAATGAACATCATCCAATGCTATGCGCCTACCAACGACTACAATGAAGACGCTAAAGATCAATTCTACAATAGGCTGCAGTCAATAGTCGAGAAGTGCCCAACAAAGGACCTGACCATTCTGATGGGAGATTTCAACGCCAAGGTTGGAACGGACAACACTGGATATGAAGACATCATGGGACGACACGGACTGGGAGAAAGAAACGAAAATGGTGAGAGATTTGCAAATCTATGTGCCTTCAATAAGCTGGTCATAGGCGGCACCATATTCCCACATAAACGCATACACAAAACCACATGGACTTCACCGGATCACTCTACACAAAACCAAATCGACCATATTTGCATCAACAAAACGTTCAGGAGGACTATAGAGGACGTGAGAACCAAGAGAGGAGCTGATATAGCATCAGATCATCACTTACTGGTCGTCAAGATGAAATTGAAACTCAAGAAGCACTGGACAACGGGGCAGACAGTATCACAAAAGTTCAATACGGCCTTTCTCCAGGATACTAACAAACTCAACAAATTCAAGATAGTCCTCAGCAACAAGTTCCAGGCCTTTCATGATCTACTCAATGGAGAAGGAACTACTGTGGAGAGCAACTGGAAGGGGATCAAAGAGGCAATCACTTCAACATGTCATGAGGTCCTGGGTCACAAGAAGCACCATCACAAGGAATGGATCACTGTTGGTACACTGGATAAGATTCAAGAAAGGAGGAACAAGAAAGCAGCAATCAATACCAGCCGAACAAGAGCAGAAAAAGCCAAGGAACAAGCTGAATACACGGAAATAAACAAACAAGTGAGGAGGAGCATCAGAACCGAAAAACGTAAATATGTGGAAGATTTAGCAACGACGGCGGAAAAGGCTGCAAGAGAAGGAAACATGAGACAATTGTATGACACGACAAAGAAACTCTCTGGAAATCGCCGCAAACCAGAACGACCAGTGAAAAGCAAGGAAGGCAAGGTAATCACCAACATTGAAGAGCAACAAAACAGGTGGGTAGAACACTTCAAAGAACTGTTGAATCGACCAGCTCCACTGAACCCATCCAACATCGAAGCAGCACCGACGGACCTCCCAATCAATGTTGGCCCACCAACAATTGAAGAAATTAGCATGGCCATCAGACAAATCAAGAGTGGCAAAGCAGCAGGACCGGACAACATCCCAGCAGAGGCACTAAAAGCAGACGTAGCGGCAACTGCAAGGATACTCCACATTCTCTTCAATAAGATTTGGGATGGAGAACTAGTACCAACAGACTGGAAAGAAGGACTACTCGTCAAAATACCAAAGAAAGGCGATCTCAGCAAGTGTGATAACTACAGGGGCATCACTCTTCTCTCAATACCGAGAAAAGTCTTCAACAGAGTATTGTTAAACAGGATGAAGGACTGCGTAGACGCCCAACTTCGTGACCAACAGGCAGGATTCCGTAAGGATAGATCGTGTACAGA